ATCATAGCCTTAATAAAATAAATCAGTTCATAATAAAAATAATAAAATATGAAATCAAAGTTATGAATATTCAAATATCAAACAATAGATAAAAACTCAAGGAAAAACAAAACACAATTTGAGGAAATCAAACTCCTTGATCCTTTATTGTTGAATCCTTTCTCTTGATCTCCAAGAGTGCCCAAAAGAGGGCTGCCACAAGCCTCTCAAAACTCCCTTAATTCTGAATTTAGATGGGTATTTATAGGATTTTAGAAACCCTAACTAGAATAGAAGTAGGACTTGGAACAGAAATAGGAAACTGAATTTTGGATGCAGATTGCGTTGTGCTGACACTTCAGATTATGTGTTGACACACAAAATAGGAAACAGAATCTGATTCTGGACGTTTAACGCATGGTGTCGACACCCCGATTACGTGTCGACACCCCGATTACGTGTCGACACTACACCCGTGTCGTGTTTTTGGCCTCCTTTTGCAATTTCTTCAATGGTAAAATGGCAGATCTGGTTCCTGACTTCTGGATTCTGCACAAGTTGATCCTCAAGTCTCTGATCTCTTCAATTTACTTCTAAAAAGTAAGATTTCTTCCAATTAAATCCTTTCCCACACAAAGAATGAAAACCATGTAAAATCAAACAAAATCTCATAAAACCTATCCAAATATCAATAATATCAAAGTAAAAATTCCCTATTAATATGTATATAAATTTAGCTCATCAAATTCCCCCAAACTTAAGTTTTACTCGTCCTCGAGTAAAGTAACAAGATAAAAGAAACAAAAATAAAACCTAACTCACTTTCGTAAGAATCACGATTGCACTTAGCATGTGCAACAAGCCTTTAAACCCCTAGGTCACCCTAGTGGACGAGTTGTGTCTCGTGAGGGTTTGCAGTGGATCTACCCACAAAATCCCAATGTAAGAATATAACTACATGATATGCATGCAAAGAAAATTTAGGAATTAAAGTTCAATTAGATATAAAGTCTCAAATATTCAAGAGTTTTCATATACTCACTTAAAGTTAGATACTCATCATATTCTTCACACCACTTGTTAAAAGATTTAGCCTATAAGCACTTAGTGTGTGTGTGTGGAAATTCATAGTAAGAAGTTTCGAGTTTAGACCTTCACACCTTAGCACTTATTACTATCTTTTTTTTTTTCTCCCCTTAATTTTTTTTTTCATAGGTCGAGTTTTCTTAGGTTTTCTAAGTTACCCATGTAACGAGCTTTTTGTCAATGACTCCCAAACCAGTTGGCTTTAGGGCATTAGGTGAAGAAACACCCCTAAGAACATACTTACTCAAGTAACAAAGGCCACGAAACATTCGACTTCTCTTCTTTTTTTTTTTTCTCTTCAGCCATACAACACATTCTTCCCTAAGTTATCACTTGTCTTTTGATACGAATACTAACATTTGTGATGAAAGCATCCGGTTACTCAACAAGTCACAAACTTAAAGTGCTTTGCATACTCATATTTCAAGTCGTCGTTTGACGTGAAAATTGAAATGGGTTTCATACCTAACCCCCAGTTACTAAGCAATTAGAAACATTGGAGTAGAAATTAATAAACTCTTTTGTGTGTTGG